CAGTTGCGGTTTGGTCCCCAGCCCTGGTCGGGGTCATGCGGGAGACAGCCAGTCGATGCGTCTCTCTCATGTTGATGATTCTCTCTGTCTCTCCCGCCTTCCCTCTCACTCTATCTGAAGATAAATAGAAAAATATCCTCGGGTGAGGATTAGGAAAAAAAAAAAAAGAATAAGTGTGAGCTAAAAGGATGGACTGTCTCAGTTGGGGAAAAAAGAGCTTGCAGACCCTTCTGTTTGTGTATAAGTATGCTTATAACTTAATAACATACACTTTTCTTAGCAGGCTCCTTTGAGCCCACTGAGAGCTGACTAGTGATTTAAAAACAATATATATATATATATATATATACATATATATATATATATAGTGCTCCATTTAGCTTAATCATATTTTTCTTCTTCATGGTGCTGCTGTTGCAATTTCAATATTTCAGAGAATGAAGAGATGCTGGGATGTATGTGTGTATGCTTGTGTAACGGTCTTTTGTTATGGCATCCTGAAATTTGTGTATTTTCAATAGAGATGAAAGTTTGTCCCAGGCAGTGTAAATCACATTATCTTGCTGTGGGCATGCAAGGACTTCTGTGAAATCTGCAGATGTCCAAATGGTTTCATCTCCTGTAAGCAGCCACAGTTGATAAAGCAGAACTCATCCAAATTTCTTTGCTAATTCTGTAGAAGAAAAAGGAAGAGTTGCTAGTGAGTCAGCTGCCTTGGTTAGCAAACATAGTTAACTTTTTAAGCCTAGAAAACTAAAAGAACCTGCAAATTATCTCTCTTCTGTTTTTCTTAGCAGTGTTTCTTCATCTGTCTGTAGGTTATATACTTTTTAAATGTCACACAGCATTTGAAGTGAGCAATTCTCGTATACATATATATCATCCCTTAAAAGAAATCAAGCATAGACAATTATTGTTGCATAGGATAATAACAGACAAGTAAGATGACTATTTGGATGACAGAGTGACTTTTAGTTAAAGATAAGCTGTTATTGGTTACATTGCCAAAATGTTAGTTTTAGAACTTTTCTGTGCTAGAATATCTGTGTATTCATAATTTTGCCAGGTGAATATGTTTTAATTCTTTTAAATTACACAAGTAACATGCTCATTATTACAAGTTAAAATATGTAAGGAGGTACCAAAATATGGTAAATATTCTCCTTGTTCCCACTTACATTCCCAACTAGCATTTTTATTCTGTTTACAAGGTTGAAATTACATTATATTCATTACCTGCCCCCCTCCCCAACACATACACACACACAAACACAGTAAATATTACTTTTTGAACTTGCTTTTTTTCATAATGTGTCATGGACACATCTTCATAGGTAGATATAATTGGATTTAATGCATTCCTTGCCATAGCTGATAATATAATATATACAGCGTTTTCAGCCTTTTTTTTCCTTTACAGCCTTTCAGATTATTTCCAATGCTGTGATTACCCTCCTTACAAAAGAGCCCAGTTAAGAATCACCCTGTGGGTTCAAATGCTCCTGCCAGCAATCTCTAAATCAGAGATACATTCTGTCAGGAAGATCAGGTGACTTCACTGTAGCGAGCTTCCTCTCCCGTAGCCCTGTGGGACTGGGCTGGGTGCAGTGTTTGTTCTGTGGTGGAGCATGACATCCTGGTCACTCACTCAGCACTGGGCTCTGAGGGGAAGAGGGTACCGAGTGAGCCTTGGGAAACGACCAAGTAAAGCTCCAGGGAAAGGCAGCCTGTTGCTTGGCCTCCCCACACACCAGTTTATTTTTTATCTTAAAGGGACACTTAATGATTTAACTTTGACAAACTTAGTTCTATGATGAGCTTGTTTTCTAACACTAACCTATAAAGGACTAATTTAGAAAAATAAAGACAAAAGCAAAATCTTCCAAAATAGCAGCCAGCAGCAAAGAAACTTTGACATAAACTTGGAGCCCAGAATCTCCTCTTCCGTGTTGATGGCCTACTCTACAAGCCACTTTTTGGAAGTTTCTCTCAATATACAAATGCTAACTCAATACTCCTTTAACATACCCATTTTGCTAAAACAGACTACCCATTTTATTTAACATAAGTTATATAACATATAATTCTTTATCTTAATTTGTTCCATCTGTTGTTATCTTCAACTTTAAGATTTGAGACTCTCAAGCCAGTAATAATCGAGATATTCATGGAGCTGCTCCTCCAAGCTTAGCATAGTTAACTTATTTGTAGTTACACAGGAAGATGTTTTGCAGAAATAAACATTTGATCATGGCCATGGCTTCTGATGTGATTTGAATTGGCTGAGGACAGAGTGGAGGCCTGCAAATGAGGTCTGTTTCCAAACTGGCATCAGGTACTTCTCACAAGCTACAGATCTCACAAGTAGAGAAGAGATCTCTAATTGAAGTTCATGCATCATGAACTTCAATATATATATATCCCCAATATATATATTTTAAATTTAAAATAGTAATGAAGGGCCCAGCCAGTATGGTTCAGTGGTTGAGTGTCGACCCATGCACTGAGGTCAGCAGTTCAGTTCCCAGTCAGGGCACATGCCCAGGTTGGGGGCTCGATTCCCAGTCGGGGGCATGTAGGAGGCAGCCAATCGATGTTCTCTCTCATCAATGTTTCCATCTCTCTCTCCCTCTCCCTTCCTCTCTCTCTAAAAATTAATAAAGAAAAAAAAAATTTTTTAAGTAATGAAGGAAAGAATCTAAAGTAGCTGTTGTGTAGCTATTTATTTATACATATCTCATATATTTGAAAAGCTAATTTTGTGGAAATTCATGGCACCTTGCTTTCAGAGTAAGCAGAAACTGGGCACCAGATGAGCACCTTTGCAGCTCTAAAAAAAGTCATTTAATCCCCCCCGATCCTCAGTTTCCATATCTACATAGTGAGGGTGATTTCTCACCACCTCATAGGATTATTGGGAGGTTTAAATGAGACCAATAGACATAGAAAATGCTCACACAGTGTTAAATAAATGCTGGTTTCTCTTAGAAAACTTAAGAGGTCTTCCAGTAGGAAGGTATTTCTTGTTAGGGTTAAAGTGGATATATAGGAGAGTGATAGAGTAAATAAAACGTAGTGAGACATGGGCAATGATGCCAATAATCAAACATATGGTTTTATAGTTACAAAGTGTTGTTATGGCCTGTATCTCATGTTTTGCATAATAATTCTGTGAATCAGTCAGGCCATTTTTTATAGTGGCTCCAAGAAATTAAATAGATGAACCAATATCTGTTAAGCCTGTAATGTTCTTTTGGACTAATAATCCAGAGCTCTTTACATTAACCTGTACTGACTGTCAATGCCGGAGAGTTAGCAAATTAAAGTTAGAAGTCTAATTGATTTCAAAATTATCTAAAAATCTAGCATTGGTCTCAAATTTTCCATAATTCCTGGGACAATGAAAATATCTGGAAAGGTAGCCTAGATTACTCCTGGATTCCTCAGGCTGACACTAAGCTCAATGTGCATGTCTGAGTGCTATGGACTAAAAGAGTTGCATTTTAATATCAAATGCACATGCTTTGTGACTATTTCCCTTCATTTTTAGCATTTCCTGAATTGAAGTTAACTGATTGGGAAGGGCTTTCTTCATGAAAAGTTTGATTTTCTTTGTGCATGTAGGCCAAGGTTCACATGTTTCTGCCCTCAAGTGCTACAAATGCTGATTATCTCCATCCTTTGGTTGACACTCAGCACAGTCTGTGTTATCTGTCCTTGTACATATATCTTCTTCCTTCCCTTTGAGAGTGTAAGTCTCCTAAAAACAGACAATATATCATTCCTCTGTACTCTCAATGCCCAGCTGAGAGCCTAACACTTTATAGCTTCTCAATAAATGCCTGTTCCTGTTTCTGCTGCTTTTGAGATACTGTTTAGTGTTGACTTCTTAGAAAAGATTCATTAGAAAACATCATATGATACAGAGAACATTTTGATGGTTGCCAGAAGAGAGTGGGATTGGGGAGAAGGGTAAAAAAGGTGAAGGGATTAAGATGTACAAATTGTAGTTACAGAATAGTAATGGGGATATAAAGTATAGCATAGAAAATACAGTCAATAGTATTGTAATAACTATTTATGGTGTCAGATGGGTACTAGATTTATCAGGGTGATCACTTCATAAATTATATAAATGTCTAATCAGGTGGTTGTACATCTAAAACTAATATATTATTGTATGTCAACTGTAATTTTTAAAAAATGTTAAAGGTCAAAAAAAAAAACCAAAACATTGTATGAAATAGTTTTAAAATAAGTAATATCTGCTACCTTCCTCCCTGTATAGTAAATGGTCTCTTGAGGATCTTTTCATAGAGACAGACAATTGCTGGGAAGATAGAGGATACTTAGGAAAGCACTGGTAATTACCATGTCCTCTTGAAGACAAGAAAAGGTTAAGCAGGTCCTACTCTCCCCAACATGAACATGCAGCACTGAAAATTAGGTCTGAGAAGAGAACAGATAGAAATACACAGCTGTCACTGGGGTGGGGGTGGGGGGAGCCTTTGAGATAAAGTTGAATTTTGTATTTCTAAAGAGTAGGAACAGCGTGTGTTTTGTTTGCTCCTCACAAATTATAGTGATTTGGTTTCAGGCTGAACAAGCACCCGAAGCAAATCCTGGCAGGCAGAATCTGTACGGGAGTGGCCAAACAAGTCAGTGTTCATTTCCTTCCCAGCCCTCTTTGGCTGATCCTTCCATAGAAAAACAGAACAAAAGGCAAGAGATTGCTGCACCCTAAAACATCCAAGTGGCTCTTTTGGCTCAGGGGTTATTTATAGCAACCTGGCTCACACTGAGAACTTCCTGCTCTATTCAGTGAATGTGCAAATGGAAACTCTGGAACCAGAACAGTAGACATAGACGCAGGGTGTGATCAATGATTAGATTCTCAAGCCTGTCGTGTTTCTGATCAAGCCATGCCTTTCAGCCAACATTGTGAACGATCACCTCAGAGCAGGCTCATCCTCTTCTTCACGTGCTCATTCTGTTTGTAGATGTTGCTATGAGGACAGATTCATCAGAAATGACTGATGTGGAGCCTGTGGTCAACACTTTTGCATCTTCAGCAAGGACAGGCCGCCGGAATGCCATCCCAGACATCCAGGGTTCCGCTGGGACAGGCGGAACGTCTGAGTTGCCCCTCAAACTGGAGGCTCTCTCCATCAAGGAAGGTAACAGTAAACACTCTTAAAGTTAGCAGCACTTCTCTCTTGACCAGTTCTTTCCTCTGGAACAGTCTCTCTTCTAAGTACTTGTTTTCTTACTGTTTACTAAAACCCTTCGGCTTTTGTTTAAAGGCTAAGTCGATTTTTCAGGCTTTCTGAAAGTGCAGTTTCATCTTTTTATCTCAGGGTGTGTATGTGGGAACTGAACATTTATATATTCATCGGATGTGTATTTTCATGCACAGTGCTGGTGATTGGGAATAAAAGGTGAACTTCCCTCAGTGAACTTGCAGAATTTATTGAGAAGTACTCAGAAATAACGTAATTTTTCTTCTGCTAACCACTGACAAATCACTTTGGAAGCTTCTGATTCACAGCAGTATTCTGTAAACTTGGCAATTTCTCTTAAAGTAAGTTTATTATCATCAAGATATGATATCTTTCAGGTAATTGTATAAAAGGTGATCATTCTTCAGCCAGTAATTGAATCAAGAAAAAAGGAGAGCTGTCAAGCCAATGAAGAAAAATCTTGGGTCTTTCTCCCCATAGTTTACATACAGTTTATATAGCTTGCAGAATGTAGTTTTCTGAGAATAAGTATAAAAGTTTTAAAAAGTCTCTTCATTTAAAAACATTCAAAGAGGTTAAAGTCAGTTTCAGTTCCAAGTTATTACCCAAATACCTGTGCCTTGTGCCCCATTTTATTCATTTATTTATTTTTAATTGAATCTATTGGGGTGGCATTGGTTAATAAAACCATGCAGGTTTCAAGTGTACAATTTAGCACATATTTGCATACTGCACTGTTCACTCACCACCCAAAGGAAAGTCTCTTTCCACCACCATTTGTTTTCTGCTCCACCCTCTCCCACCTCCCCCACTCCTCTTTCCCTCTATCACCACACTGTTGTCTGTGTCTATGTGTGATTTTCTTCTTCTTCTTAATCCCTTCACCTTTTACACCCAGCCCCCTCAACCCCACTCCCTTCTGACAGCTGTCAGGATGTTCTCTATATCTATTATTCTATTTCTGTTTTGTTTGTTAATTTTGTTCATTAGATTCCACATATAGGTGAATTCATATGGTACTTGTCTTTCTCTGACTGGCTTATTTCACTTAGCATAATGCTCTCCAGGTCCATTCATGCTGTTGCAAAAGGTAAGAGTTCTTTCTTTTTAATGGCCACATAGTATTCCATTGTTTAAATGTACCACAGCTTTTTTTATCCACTCATCTACTGATGGGCACTTAGGCTGCTTCCATCTTGGCTATTGTAAATAATGCTGCAATGAACATAGGAGTGCATACATTGTTTGGGATTAGTGTTTAGGGATTCTTAGGCTATATTTCCAGAAGCGAAATTGCCGGGCCGACTCATTTTAGCGGTCAAAGAGGACTCCGTGTGTGTAAAAATGTATTCCTGGTGGCACTGAGGCAAGAGAGAGCTAGAAGCTTCTGCACATCTACCCCATTAATGAGAGGCCCAGAGGAGGGCTCTTACTTCTTTGCCTCAGGAGGTTATTTACTACTTGGTAAAGTTACAAATTGTTCCTAGTTTGATTCCTATTAAATAAATATATCATTGTTAGGCCAGGGACTGTGGTCAGATCCTGGAGTCCCACGGTTACCTCAACTTTTTCCAAAGGTCATTGCATTTCTTATATGGGACACTACAAGTAAAAGTTTTAAAAGTATGCATATAAGCCCTGGCTCGTGTGGCTCAGTTGGTTTGGGCATCATCCCATGCACTGAAAGGTTGCTAGTTTGATTTTTGGCTTGATCAGAAGGCAGCCGACTGATGTTTTACTCTTAAATTGATGTTACTCTCTCTCTCCCCTTCTCCTTTCCTCTCTCTAAAATGACATAAAAAAACTTTTTTTTTTTAAAGTATAGACCTAAGATGAAGAAAAAATGAAATAAATAAAAATAAAAGAAATAAAATATGTGTAATGTTTTTGGCTTTTTACATTTGAAAATGTCATACACAGTAGTTCTCCCTTATTGACAGGGAATATGTCCTATGACCCCCCAATAGATGCCCAGATGATGCCTGAAACCACAAAGAATATATGCTATTCTTCTCCTATACATACATACCTACAGTAACAGATTAGCAACAATGACTAATAATAAGGCAAAAACAATTACGGCAATATGCTGGAATAAAAATTATGTGAATGGCTCTGGCTGGTTTGGCTCAGCGGTTAGAGCGTCCGCCTGCGGTCCGGAGAGACCTGGGGTCGGTTCCCGCTAAGGGCACGTACTTCGGTTGCAGTTTGTCCCCGGCCCTGGTTGGTCGTGCGGGTGGCAGCCACTCGATGTGTCCCTTCACATCGATGTTTCCCTCTCTCTCTCTTCCTCTCTCTCCCTCCCACTCTATCTGTACAAAAAAATGGAAAAATGTCCTCAGGTGAGGATAAAAAAAAAAAAAAAATTATGTGAATGGTTTTGGGGCCATTTTAAGTAAAATAAGGGTTACTTGAACACAAGCACTACAATACTGCAACAGTCCATCTGATAACCAAGATAGTTACCATGTGACTAACGGGCAGGGAGCATGTATAGCCTGGAGACACTGGACAGAGGGATACTTCACTTCCCAGCTAAAACGGAGCAGGATGGTATGAGATTTCATCACACTACTAGAACAATGTGCAGCCGTGGTAACTAAAACCGCAGAAAATAAAACCGTGGATAAGGGGGGACTACTGTATGATTATCAGAACATGATATAGCTGTTGAAGGGCCATACTCAATAATGAGGTAGAGAAGTTACTTGTTAATATAAAAAGGCCTACTTAAAGTTTATAAACACACACACACAAACCAAAATACATGTTGACATTGTTTACTTAAGGCAAAGAGAACACATATACTGTAGGAGAATCAGTAGTCTTCATTATTTTATTCTGGTCACACTAGAGAGGCCATTATGTGAAAGATTATTATTACTATTTTATATCTTTATTTAAATAATTGCAAAATAACATCAAAGGCATTGAATGAGAAACCTAAACTGCTAAAAATACAATCACTATGTAGCACCAAATAGTAAAGAATATACAAAAAGAAATGTATTTACAGAGGTAGATGGCATAGACAATGTTTTATTAACAGAGCTATAAATAAATATATTAAGGCCTATTTTCTTTTTAATTAGCTAAGTACAAATATTATTAAGGGTTTAAAAATTAATAGTTTCCAATTGCTAAAAAAACAAAAAGCTGGGGTCTGAGTTTTCTTTGTGTAGTTTCCATGTCTAGACTGATGGCAAAATATGTCTTAAGTAGAAAATGACTAGGGTGCAGAAAGGAAAAACCAATGGTTTTATTCCAATGTAATAAAAATATATCAATATATTAAATATATGAATTAAAATTATTATTTTTTAGATGTAAAAAAGCAAGAAGAAGAAACAACACAAGACCAATTGGAAAAGCCCCCAAATGAAGGCTCATAATCTGTCAAAAACTGCTGAATTTCTGCAAGGTGAAAGACTTTAGTGGCTCTGCTTTCCTGAGATGTTTGATCTGGTAGTAACCATGGTAACACTGCAGCCCTAAGCAACATGTGTGTACTAGATAATCTTGTTATGATGCTGCTCACTGGGATTGCAACCGTGATGTCCAATATAGGTTATTAAAAGGCAGATTACTTCCAAATTGCACCCAAGGAAAAATTAAGAATGCATATTCTGTTTTAGATTTATTTAGCCAGATGTGTTTTTAATTCTGTTTTTATGGGAGTGGGTAAAAAGATTTCTCAGTAACTATAAACCAAACAGCATTAATTTAAAACTTTATGAAATTTGTAGAAAATTATGGTAGGGTCTTTTGTTTGTTTGTTTGTTTGTTTGTTTGGGTAAGAAGAAATAATGAGTCGAAACTACAAGGATAGAATGTTTGTTTTTAACCAAATTTTTTTTGGTCCCAAACCCTCAGAAGATTTGGGGGGAAATTGTAAAAGCTTGACAACCTAAATATCTCTAGGATGTTTTTTGTCTGATATGCATTGCTTCTAGTTTATGCATACTGTAGTTTTTCATGTGGACTCTTAAAATGCAAAATTTGTGACACATTGTTTATATGTAACATGCCTATTAAATCAATTTTACTATCTTCCTCAACTTTGATGTGTGTATGTGTATGCGTACGTTTTTATTTAATGTGAATTAGCAAAACATCTTAATAGTTGCTTTACACTGTCTTTTCTTATTCTTAGGGCTTTTGTGTATATATGACTTGTTTCTGAAATAATTTTCTCAGGAATGCAGACCTTAATTTTTTATACCTTTCCTAAAGTCAGTAACATAAGAGTAGGCACTTAAATATTTGGTTAGTGATGTAGGTACAATAGTAAAATACTTGCTTTTAATATATATTTAAGTATATATTTTAAAAGAAACCAAACCAAACCAAAGCCTTAGTAAATGTTGATTTATTTGACATTTTAGGAAAATAATAGAATTCTGAATTTAAAAATGTTTGACTAATGAATTTATTTTTATTTTCAGATATATATGCATGCAGTTTTATTTTATTGTAACTTAGGCCAGGTCTGTATATGGTAATCAAATAAACTCTTTCACTGTTAAATCTGTTACTGACACAAGTCTCCTTCATTTGTATCTTCTAAAGTATACCAGGTGAAAAATGGCATCACATTTTAAAGGAGGAAGTTAATATTGTGATATAAAACACCTCCTGCCTATTATTTCACTGATGATGTTTACCTTTATATCTAAAGTACACCTGAGGAGTTGATTTCAAAGACCTGATTGTTTTATATTCTCAAATATAAGTATTTCTTTATAAAAAATCTAAAGTACTATTTCAGGTGTACCACATTTAATATTCAGTAAAATATATTTTATCCATTAAAATGATATTTCCGAGTTATTTAATGACACAATATTATATAACTATTATACAGATGGGTTGGAGTAGAACAGTGGTCTATAAGCTGGGGGAGTGGTACTTTTACCTCCTAAAGGTCATTTGGCAAGGTCTGGAGACATTTTTGGCTGCCACAAGAGGGCAGGGGATGGGGAGAGAAGAAACTACTGGCATCTAGTGGGCAGAGGCCAGGGATGCTGCTGAACTACTAAGCATCCTGCAGTCCTACAGGGCAGGCCTCACAGCAAAGAATTACCTGGTCAGGTGCATCAGTAGTGCTGAGGCTGAGAAACCTCAGACTACAGCATAACTGTCAAGCACATGGCTTCTGGATTCAGATGATGGGGTTTGAGTTTTAGCTTTGCTACCCACTACCTGTGTGATCTTGGGCAATTTACACCATGTCTCTAAGTCTCAGTTTTATCCTCTTGGGATGGTGTTAATAATTATGCATAAGTTATAGGGCTAGGTCATTATTTTGTTCAATGTTGTTTCACTACAATGTTGAGGAGGGAAAAATATCGAGTCCCAGCCAGGGCCACTGTCTGTGTGGAGTTGGCACAGTTTCCCACGTCTGTGTGAATTTTCACTGGGTACTCCTGCTTCCTCCCACACCCCACAGGTATGCATATTAGGTGAACTGGAGTGTGTAAATTGTCCCAATCTGAGTGAGTACGGATGTGTGTGTGTGAGTGCGCCCTGCAGTGGATGGGCATCCTGTCCAGGGTGGTTCCCGTCTTGTTCCCTGAGCTGCCAGGAGAGGCTCCAGCCACCTGCAACCCTGAACCAGAACAGTCAAGTTGAAAAATAATTCTTACTTATTTTTATTAATATTTTTAAAGTTTATGTGTAGCTCACTTTTATTTCAATGTTTAATGTCAGAAGGGTTTTGGGTATTGATTTAGAAGTTTGGTGATATTTTTGTGACCAGAAATATGCCATAAGAACTTAATTCTTGTTTATATCAATTAGCCTAGGGATTTGGGTGTCGTTTGTCACACACAGTTTTATTTAAAGTTGCAGTTTCCAAGAGCCTATTGACAACGTCAAATGAGGACTTGCTGTATATGTAAAACACTGGACTAATTCCTGGCAAAGAATTATTCAATAAATATTGGTTATCATCACCATAATTTTTATTCCAGATGCTTTTGACATTATTCTCTGGTAGCGAAGGTGCTGGGCAGCTGGATTTGTTCATTTGGCTACCTCTGCCTTCCTCTGCAATTCCATAGACATCACAAATTCTTGGTGCTGGGAGAAAACACTACGATGGAAATTGACAGTTCATGGTAATTACTACATCAGTGCCAATTCAATCATGCTAATGAGCTGCTGACATTACCCTTTAGCAATGAGTCACTCACTAGTGTTTTATGACAGTTACTGCAACAAAACAGAATTTTATGTCAGTATCCAAATGAGTAACTTGTTTCATGAGTATGTAGAAGACAAAAGCAACCTATCTCTTGGGTCACAGTATTATTGGGTGTTTATCTCTCATTTAGAAGACCAGAAATAAAGCCATGTTCTTCCTCATTATTGCTAGTGATGACATATATTTCTAATGCTGTATATGCTAAGTCACTTATTCATCAAAATGCACACATAAATGTCCCAATATATACATATTTGTAGGTATTTTGTATTATATAAAATATCAAACTTATTGAATATTTGCCAACAGAAGATTATTATAATTATTCTGCTGAGAAGGAATTCAGACAAAGGAGAACAAGAGATTAATAGTTTAAAGACAAAGTTGAATTCATCTACTGATTTTTTAAAAATCAAGCTATTTGGGGGAATGTGTGGTACAGTATTTTGTCACAGCAAGTAGACACTTTCAACAAAGCTACCTAGTTGGGACTCATTACAGAATGTCTCCATGCCCATTTTTTGCCATTTTCTTTTTACAAGACTTGTGCTTTAGTTAGTGACTGTAAAGTCTTAATTAGTACTGTGAGCTAAACCAAGACAAAAGGGGACGACAAACCAGCTGTCTGGAAACTTGATTCTGTACAAAGGAAGAAAAAGAACAAAAGGAAACTATTTTGTGTTGTGTGCTGAAAAGATTTGAACCTTCTTAGACTGTGAGTGACTACACGTGGAGGGGGGAGGTGGGGGGGGTGGGAGGGCAAGAAGAAGTGGTGTATTTGTTTCAGTTATGTGAGCTCAGGTGGCTTGAGCAGCTTGGGCAGGTGATGGAGAGACAGAGAGAGAACAGAGGAAGAATTACCAAAGCACACTAACCTGACGCCTCATCTGTGGAAACTGACACCTCAAGTTCAAATTACAGATTTGCCATTTGCTCTCATGACTTTGGTTATTTTACTCTTTGTGCTTCAACTTCTTCAATACCTAACATGGTGAATTACTATACAAATTAAATTAGTGAACACAGATAAATTGCTAAGGAAAGTGCCTGATAAATAGCAAAAGCTATTATTATTCTTATTCATTTTTTGAGCACAAAAGGTGGTGGTGACTTTAAGGTGGGTGTTCTACATCCATTGATTTTCTTTCTTTTTTAAAGAAATATTTTTATTTACTTTTAGAGAGAGAGGAAGGGAGAAGAAGAGAGAAATAGAAGCACCGATGAGAGACAGATAGAACATCGATGAGACACATCAGTTGGTAGCCTACACACCCCTCCCCACTGGGGATCCAGCCCACAACCCAGGCATGTACCAGTGACCTCTTGGTCCATGGGTTAATATTCAACTACTGAATCACACCAACGGATGTGGCTCTTTTCTTTCTTTTTTAAAATCTTTATTGTTGAAAATATTGCCCTCCTTTTTTTCCCCACTGACACCCTTCTCCACACACCACGCCTCCCCACCTTCACCCCACTGTTGTCTGTGTTCACTGGTTATGCATATATGTTCTTTGGTTTATCTCTTCCCACCTCCTACCCCTCTTCCCTCTGAGGTTTGTCAGTCTGTTCTCTATTGACATGTCTCTGGATCTATTTTGTTCATCAGCTTATTTTGTTCATTATATTCCACAAATAAGTGAGATAATGTGATGCTTTCCTTCTCTGACTGTCTTGTTTCACATAGCATAATACTCTCCAGGTCCCTCTATGTAGTCTCAAAGAGTAAGAGATTTTTCTTTCTTACAGCTTCATAGTATTCCATTGTGTATATGTACCACAGTTTTTTTTATCCATTCGTCTACTGATGGACATTTGGGCTGTTTCCAGATCTTAGCTATTGTAAATAGTGCTGCTATGAACATGGGGTTACATATATTCTTTCTGATTGGTGTTTCAGGCCTCTTAGGGTATAGTCCTAGAAGTGGGATCACTGGGTCAAATGGCAGTTCCATTTTTAACTTTTTGAGAAAAAATCATATCGTTTTCCATAGTGGCTGTAACAGTCTGCGTTCCCACCAGCAATGTACTAGAGTACCCTTTTCTCCACATCGTCTCCGGCACTTGAGGATTTATTGATGGCCATCATTCTGGCAGGTGTAAGGTGATAATTAATAGTCGCTTTAATTTGCATCTTTTTGATGATTAGTGACATTGAGCATTTTTTCATGTCTCTTGGCCATTTGTATGTCCCCTTTGGAGAAGTGTCTATTCTGGTCCTCTGCCCTTTTTTTTTTTTATTTTTTATTCTTCATCCAAGGATACTTTTCTATTAATTATCAGATAGAGTGGGGGGAGGGAGAGAGAGAGAGAGACAGAGAGAAACATTGATGTGATAGAGCCATATTGACTGATTGCTTCCTGCACAACCCAACCAGGGCTGGGGACAAACCACAACCAAGGTACGTGCCCTTGTCCAAAACTGAACCTGGCTTGAGCCAAACCAGCCAGGGCCCTCTGTCCATTTTACAATCAGATTGTTTTTCTTTTGTTGAGTTGTATGAGTACTTTATATATTTTGGAAATTATATTTATATATATTCTGGAAATTGACCCCTTATCCGATGTATCATTGACAAATATATTTTCCTGTATAG